CTCGGGGCCGGGGCCGGGGTGCTGGGTGCCGGGGCCGAGGTCCCGCTGGGGTGCCGGGGATCGGGCGGGTGCGGGGGTCTTCAGCGGGGTCCAGGGGTCGGCGCCCCCGCGGGAGGGGGTCCGGGGGTGAAATCACGGCCCCGGCTTTGTCCCCGGGTGACAACCCTACCTGCAGTGCCACGTGGCAACTTACTGTGGATTTGAAGACCCCCTGTTTCAGGGGCTGCTCTACAGAGGTGAGGGTCTGCTCACACAGCAGACCCTAGATCTGCAGATCTGCAGAACTGTTGCTGCTGGGGGCTGATCAAGATCTCATCCCCCTTTCTCCTCCAACTAGCTGCTGCAGCGAAGGCCAAGACCCTCCTGGTCTTGGTGTACCTTGTGCCCTTGGAGACACCAAGGGCCAGACATCTCTTCTCTCTCCCCCCTTCCTCTACTAACCCACTCTCCCAACCTCTCCTCTCTCCTATTACTCACCCCTTCTCTTTCCCCCACCTTCTACTGCATCTTTTCTCTCCTCCTTTTACCTTCCCCACCCCACCTTTCTCCCACCACCCATTCTTTTATTCTCCTTTCTTTATTTCTTTTCTTTTCTTTCCTCCTTTTCTCCTTGCTTCTTGATCCCTCTCCACCTTTCCCCAACCCTCCTCTCCCCCAACTACCACCACATCATCCCCCCCCCTTCCACTTCCATCTTTTCTCTCTCCCACCTATTTCTTTCTTTTCTCCTTCACTTTTTCATTCCCCTTCCCCCGTACTTCATTTTTTTTTCGTTTTTCTTCTTTCTATCTCTGTTTTGATCTATCTTTTCTCTTTTTTCCAAAAATTCAAATTATTTTCTTCCCCACCTTCTTTTCTCATTTTCTGATTTCTTTCATTTATTTTTTCTATTTATTCTGAAAATTCGATTTTCTTTACGACAACCCTAAATCTGATTAGGTGTTTGTCTTTCTTGCTGTTGGCACACGTTTTGACCCCGTGGGAGTAACGAAGTGCTCCCGAAATTTTCTGATTTTCTCTTACTTGGTCTTTTTCGGCACACTTCGACCCCATGGGGGTAACGAAATGCTGCCAAAATTTTTGAAAAATCAGATACTCCATTTCTCTCCCCCTCCTCATCCACTTATTTACTTATTTATTTATTTATTTATTTATTTTTTGATTTTTTTTATTTTTTTTTTTGCGGCATCTTGAAACCTAGTGTGCTCACCTTGGTCTCTCCTTTCCCCTTGGCACATTCTTGACCCCATGGGGGGTAAGGAAATGCTGCCGAAAATTTCAAAAAAATAAATATTGTTTTTTTCTCTTCACATCTTTTTACTTATTTATTTAATTATTTTTATTATTTATTTATTTCCATAATTATTTTTATTTTCTTTCGAAATCTTGCTGTTTATTTATTTTTCTCCCGCCTTCCCCCCCCCTATGCTTGCTATCTTATTTTCTTGATTAGGTCACCGGTACCCTACCCTAACCACTTAAACTTCGGTTAGGGTTTTCTTAGGGTTTTTCTAGGGTTTAGGGTTCGTCAACCCCCCCCCTACTCCCCTTCCTATTCGGGCACCCTGAACCTGAACCACCCCTCCCCCTTTGACGGCGCCCGCGCCAGCCTTGCTAGCGTCATCCGCCGCCTTCTACTGCGGACCCCCTCCTACGCCCTCCGCTCACGCGGACCTCTCCTGGCCCCCTCCAGTCCGGCCCGTCACCTCCCCATGGCCGACGGTGTGTCACACGCCGCCAACGCGGCGACGACCACGACACAGGGCTCCACACCCGTGCCGACGGACCAGGGCCACCAGCCCCAGAGGGATGTGCACACCCTCCTCACCTCCCTCCTTGCGCCCATCCAGGCGCAACTCGCGACCCTCGCGCCCTTATAGGCGCAGGTGGCGACCCTTGCCGCCGGCATGCAGCAACTCCAGGACGCTGCGTGTCCTTCATCTCCTGGCTCCCAGTCCGGGCCCCCCGTCCTCCGACAGGGTGGCCATGGTGGAGCTTCCTCCTCTGCTGCCCCTGACCCAACCATCTTGGTGACTGTCCACGCCCCTAGCACGACGGCCGCCACGAGCCAGACCCTCCCTCAGTCCACGGGCGCACCCGCCTAGATTCCGGTTACGACGGCCACGGGACCACAACCCGCTACCATGGTCTCAACTTTTTCGGGTGCCCCGCTTCTCCCTTCCCTTCGCACGACCGCAACGCCACTTGGCTCTCCCCCCTCTGGGATGCCCCGTGCCGCTCGTGCGTCCACTTCCCCCACTTTCTCTCCTGCTACCCCTCGCACGACCTACGTTCGAGGTCTCGAGGACGAGATTGCCCAGCTCCGGGCCGACCTCGCCCTCTCATGCCTTCAGCCTCCCCCACCTTCACAGGTGGCCGCGCCTTCCGGCGCACCCCCTTCTTCCTCTACTCTTCCTCCCATGCAAGCTCGCTTCCCTCGCCCTACACCCTACCCATCCCCATCCTACCTCCTCCCCATCCCCTCGGTTGTTGCGACCTCTTCTACCGTAGCTCCCGTGCAGCCTGCCGTTGTTTCCCCCGCCGCTCCACCATGCGGCCCGAGCGTACAGTCAACTGTGCCTCCTCCTCCAAGACCTGCGCCGACTTATTCAGCCGTAGCGCAGTCCCCTACTTCGCGTTCTCCTCGCCGCCAAAACGGTGGCGCACCACTCGTCCGCTTGACGGATATTGCCTTGTATGATGGTATAGGCATAGGCGTGTCTCGGTGGCTACAGTCTGCCACCCGCACGCTCCAGCTCATGGGTGCCGCACCCGACACGTGGGTGACTCACCTCTCCACGCGCCTGCGGGGCGGTCCTTTCGACGTCTGGGAGGATTTCTACGCTTACTCCGTTCGTGCGGGTCGGACTCCGACCTTCATGGATTTCCAGGCGTTCCTCGAGGATCGCTTCGGAGCCCGATATGATGTGACTGATGCCTTCGAGCGTGTCGTCACTACACGTTGGTCCGACTCTGGTGGCGCTGCCGGCCTGGATCGCCACATCCAGGTCTTTCAGGACGCCCGCCTCATTTGTGACATGGCGTTCCTCCCCGAGGTGGCCCTTATCGATCGTTTCTTGGCCAACCTTCCGCTCGAGTATCGCTCGGAGCTATGGCGGTGCGAGTTCACATCGGCCCCGCAGGCTTACGAGGCCGCCAGGGACCATCAGCGGATGCGAGCCCGTCTTCACCCCGCCTCCTCCTCCAAGCCTCAGCGCACGGGCTACGCCTCCTCCTCCTCTCACGACACTTCCGAGCGTCTTCCCCTTTCCGCGGTCGCCCCCGCCGTTCTGTGCAGCAGGGCCGCCACTTTACGTGCCGCTTCAGCTCGCTCGAGTATGGTGAGCAGGACGCTGGTGCCCCGCTGTCACCAGAGGGTGACCATAGCGACGACCTCGACCTCGGCGAGGCCGTCCACCACCACCTAGAGGACCCTACTCTCCCTATGGCTGAGCGCCTCCAGCTCATCCTGTCCACCCTTTCCCGGGCACGCAGCCGCCCTGGTCACGCTGGCGCGTCGCCCCCCGAGGTCCCTCAAGAGGACCTCCCTCAGGGCTTTGTTCCTCCTCCCGGTGTCCTTTCCGCTAAGGAGCGTGCGACTATTTTGGGCCGACGTGGGTGTTTGCGCTGCCGCTTGGACGGTCATACCTCCTCGCGGTGCCCTTATACCACCGCCCTTGACCGCCACTACGCTGACCTTTCCCGCCAGCGTCGTGCTCAGTCCCCCTCCGGCGCCTCGCATCCCCGCGACGCCTCCTAGCCACGGTGCAGTGTACACCTGCGCCCTCCTCAGTAGTCGGCTTCCCGACATCCCCATCGTGGTTTGCCCCTCTCGCTACTGGAGTTGAGGTCTCGCAGGATCCGACAGAGTGTACTCAGCCCTCTGTCGCAGTACCGTCTGCGCCTCCGCAGACCACCGTCTCCCCTCCTTCCCCACCGTGACTACCGACGCGTCGAGCTATTCGCTCAGCCCATTGCAGTGAGCAACTTGTGACTCGCGAGGATGTTGTGTCCTCTCTTCTGGACTTGAGCATGCTCCAGGCTCGTCAGGAGCGACTCACCCTCCATGTCGCTGCCCTGCGTCGCCTTCTCACCATCCTCTCTGACCCTGCTCGCACCCTCCCGATCATCCCCGTACGACTGGGGACCTCCACGAGGGTGTACTCAGCGCTGTGGGATTCCGGTTCTCAGGGCGACTTCATTCACCCTCCCCGTGTGGTGAAAGAAGCCCCTTACCCACGACCGGGTTTCCGACTCCCATCTCTGTCACCCTAGGGGATGACAAGACCCAACGCTTCTTCGATCAGACGGTCACCGATCTCCCTTTCTTCCTCACTCTCGAGCCGACTGATCCTCCCCCGGCGTCTCGTCGCCACTGCTTCTGTGCACATTTCGATGTGATGGAGACGGGGTACGACTTCATTCTCGGCACTCCGTGGTCTCGTCGGTTCCGCAGCACCGAGGCCGATTGGGCGACCAACACTCTCGTTCTCAAAACGAAGTGTGGACAGACGTATCGTGTACCTTTCATAGGTACCACTGCGACACCACGCCCCGATCCTCCTCCCCCGGAGCCTTCCGTGCCCACACCATCTCCTTCTATCACTGTCACTTCGCCTCGGCAGTTCACCCACTTCATCCGACAGGACGACGTCACCTTCTTTATGGTGAACGTGGCGGATCTCTTACACTATGATCCACACTGTCCCGACGCCGAGCTCATCCCTCTGGAGCCAGATCCTCCTTCTATCTCCATGGCTCTCATCTCTACATCCCACCCTCCGCCATCCGTCGAGTCCACCCCGCCGTCGCGCGCTGACGCTGACGCTGAGGAACTCGCACGATATACGACCGACCTGGAGCCCGCAGTTCGTGACCTCATTCGAGAGTACCACAACGTTTTCCCATCGTCGTTCTCGTACGCTAGCATCCCACCGATGCGTGACGTCGAGCACTCCATCCAGCTTGTGCCTGACTATCGTGTTCACCACCAGACACCCTACAGACTCTCGATCCCCGAGGCCACCGAACTCAAGCGTCAACTTGAGGAGCTCCTGAGGCTGGGTTTCATTAAACCCAGCAACTCCCCATGGGGTGCACCCGTCCTCTTTGCTCGCAAAGCGGATGAAACTCTCCGTCTCTGTATCGACTATCGCGGCCTCAACCGCTACACGGTTAAGAACAGCTACCCCATGCCTCGTTCCGATGAGTTGTTCGACCGCCTAGCAGGCAACCGCTTCTTTACGAAGATTGATCTTCGTAGCGGTTACCATCAGATCCGCGTCGCTGCAGCCGACCAGCCGACGACCGCGTTCCGATCGCGATTCGGCCACTACGAGTTCACGGTGATGCCATTCGGCCTCACCAACGCACCCGCTACCTTTCAGAGGGCGATGAACGACATCTTCAGGGATATCTTGGAGCAGTACGTTCTCGTCTACCTCGGCGATATCCTGGTCTACAGTCGTACCCTTGAGGAGCACCTCAGACACCTCCGCGACGTCCTTGACCGCTTGCGCAGACATGGCTTCTACGCCAAGCTGAGCAAGTGCCGCTTTGCCCAGCACAAAGTGAATTTCTTAGGACACTACGTGTTTGACCAGGGTCTCCACATGGACAACGCGAAGATCACTGCTATCGAGGAGTGGCCCGTCCCCACATCCGCCAAGCAGCTTCGCAGCTTCCTACGCCTGACCAGCTACTATAGTAATTTCATCCAAGGATACGCTAGGTATTCCTACGACCTTACCTCCACCCTCCTCCGGAAGAACCCACCCTGGGCTTGGATACCCCTCCATGAGGACGCCTTCCGCGCCCTCAAGAAGGCGGTGACATGCGCACCGGTTCTTCACCTACCCGATTTTGATCGCCCTTTTATCCTTACCACCGATGCGTCAGACTTTGCTGTAGGAGCAGTGCTTTCTCAGATCTTCCCCTCCTCTCCTGATTCCTCTCATCCTCGTATCCCTCGTTTCCCACCACCTACCCCCACCACTCCTTCCCGACTGACGCCTACTCGTCCAGCTACTGACGAACCTTCTATTGACTATTCTCCTACCATCGCCGAGGACGGCACTGTCGAGTCTCGCTCAGGTGATTGTCCGATAGCCTTCTACCCCTGTCAGCTCCTGCCCGCCGAGATAAACTACACTGCTGATGAACATGAGGTTCTCGCAGTAGTTTATGCCGCTCGCACTGGCGTTACTACCTGCACGGGGCACCTTTCACGGTGCGCACGGACAACTCTGTTGTCCAGGCTTTTCTGACAAAGCCGAAGCTCACTCCTCGACAGGCTCGCTGGTGGCGCGACCTATTCGAGTTTAGTTTCACCACTGAGCACATCAAGGGTGAGACTAATCGGGTCGCAAATGCCTTATCCCGGCGCCCTGACCACGACCAGGAGCAGATCCATCTCTCTTCCATCTCGGTCACCACCGTCCACCACTCGGTGATCGACGAGTTTCGCACTCAGTACCGCCACTGCCCCGACTATCGCGACATCCACGCGACCCTTCGGAGTGGCAAGACCGTCCCGAACTACTCTCTCGGGGACAACGGTCTCGTGTACTGGCACTGTTCACAGGGCACCAGAGAGCCCCGTATTTGCATTCCCTCCACTGGACAGCTACGTATTCGAGCAGTAGCAGAGTTCCATGACCAGGCAGCCGCCGGTCATATGGGCTTCCACAAGACGTTGGCTCGTGTAAGCCGCCTGTACGTCTGGCCGAAGCGCAAAAACTTTGTGAAGGACTACGTCGCAGAGTGTCCCACCTGTCAGGAGGTGAACAATGCGAACCACTTGCCTTATGGTTTGCTCCAGCCTATCCCTGAGGGTCGTTGGCAGTCCATCTCGATGGACTTTATCGGTCCTCTTCGTCCTCCGACCCCTCGCGGTCATGATGCTATCCTGGTCGTCGTCGACCGCTTCACGAAGCGTGCACGCTTTGTTCCGTGCTGCTATGCCATCAGTGCACGTGAGGTCGCCGACATCGTGTTTGACCGAGTCGTGCGTGACCACAACTTACCTCTGATCATCATATCTGACCGTGACCCGCGCTTTACCAGCCGATTCTGGCGACGACTCCACGAGGTGTACGACACCCAGCTCCGCTTCTCCTCGTCTTACCATCCTCAGACTGATGGTCAGACGGAGATCACGAACAGGACTCTCGGAGATATACTCCGAAAGATTGTTCGTGACGACCAGCAGTGGGATCTCCATCTTGCCCACGCGGAGATAGCCTACAACCACSCCGTCTCGCCAGCCACGGGGATGTTGCCTTACTATTGCGACCTCGACTATCACCCTCGTGTTCCCGCGGACTTCCTTCGACCGTCATAGATGCACCCCGACATGAGTTGTCCCGCGCTGGATGATTGGGTTGCACACATGGCGTCGATCATGAAGACCGCACATGAGCACATAGCCGTCTCCCAAACTCGCATGGCAGCACATGCGAACCGATCGAGGATGGATCATCCATTCAAAGTCAGTGATGATGTGCTTATCGGCGCCCGCCACTTACAGCTCGAAGCGGACACGCTTCGCAAGTTTCGGCGTCGCTTCTTTGGCCCATGCCGCATCCTCCAGGCCGTTGGTTTTAATACGGCATCTAGCTCGGTCAACTTCCGCGTGAAGTTGCCCGACTACCTACGCCAGGCTCGTGTGCACGATGTCTACGACGTCTCGTTACTACGTCCTTATCGCAGACCGTCTGAGCGTTTCGCTGGATGACCATACGAGCGCCCTCCACCCATCATGGTGGACGGCCACGAGGAGTTCCTCGTTTCARACATCATTGGTCGCCGAGTCACCGATGACAACCCTCCCCACGTCGAGTATCTCGTACGTTGGAAGGGTTACCCTGATGAGGAGGCCACCTGGGAGCCCCTCGAGCACTTGCAGCACGCTCGCATGTTGTTGCGTGCCTATGACCGTGCTCGTCGTGCTGGGTTCACTGCTCCTCCTCAACCCACTGACCCTCCTCCTTCTCCCCCGGATGAGGAGACCGTTGAAGTCGAGCCTTCTCCATCTGAGGCAGACCTTCAGCAGCAGCCGGATGCTTCCGAGTGTCCACAGCGCACTCGTCGTCGTCCTGCTCGGTACGACGATTGACTATGACTTACCTTCCCACGTCCTTGACTTCTCAGTACTTCATCCACTCCAGTTCTGTTACTTCAACTCGTCGACGTTGTGGATCTTCCTCGACGGCATTCCGGACTTCTCATCGTGGACGTCATCGGCAACTTCATGGACTTCGTCACGATCAGCTCTGCCTACTTCAGACGTCATCACTCCCTTACCACTTTACCCTGTACAGTATCCTGCTTATGTCGCATGATGGTCTCCGTTTAGCCGGGTTCCTCTGAGTTGGGCTCTTCCTTGGTATACGCATAGGCATCGGGACCGTAGCGTTGCCTTGGCTTCCCATCTTATGGATCTAGCTCCGACTTCCCCACCTTAGGAGTCATCTGCATGATTCCCTTACCCATCATCTTTCTACCCTCTGCCGGCCCTCACGCCCTAGTTAGGCAGCCCCACATGCTTCATCTAGGTGCGCCCAGTATACCAGGCTTCCTTGTTCCCTTGCATGGTCGACCCCCCATAGCGGTCACCCCTTAGTCGAGCATTACCCCCCCTGACGGTCTATCTGTTAGGGTCATTGGTCTTGTTCGCTCCCAGTTCCCTACCCTTATGGAGCCTGATGACATGTGTTTCCCCTGTCACTACGTGTGGATGCCCTTAGGAGTTTTCGACCCCTAGGCTGCATTCGCCACCCTCAGAGACCATCCCACCCTTTGGTTTGCGACACACTTCTCGTGTGACATATGATTGACTTGTTGTTGCTTGTTGCTCTCAGACTGAGGCTTCTGCCTCTGACATTTCTAGGATTTAGTTGTTCTGCTTTTGCTGTTCTTAGGACTTATACACTAGTCAGTTGTTCCCGGACTGAGGCTAGTGCCTCCAACATTCTAGGATCTAGTTGTCACTACTTTTTGCTTTCCTAGGACATGTATGCTAGTTAGCTGCTTCTGCTTTCCCTAGGACATGTATGCTAGTTAGTTGCTTCTGCTTTTACTTAGGCTGTTAGCTGTGACATTGCTGTTTTGTGACATCTGATATCCTAGGTTGCATTGCATGGACTCAGCATGGAGCTTGCTCCACATCCTAGACTACTCAGGTTTTCTTTTTTCTTTGGTAGAGTTCCGCTTCTTGGCGGAAGCGTGCTTGTATCTAGGCGATCCATCACAGGCCGAGGATCGTGTAGCGGACCTCTGGGTGGCCTGTGAGACCAGCCTGTGAGACCAGCCCCTTGGCCTGTTCTCACAGGCCTGGGTTCTATTTGGGGGGCAGTCCAGTCCAGTCCAGGCCGGTACCTCTGTCGGTACCAGCCAGTCCAGTCCCGTCCCGTCAGTCCGCTGGGGTATACCCCAGCCTTTGTCTGTTTTTCAGGATCATTCTACAGTTGCACGATTTTGGAGTACGTGCGTTGGAGTCTTGCGTGGGAGCTGCGCTGTGCATCTCGCTCCCCCCTTCTTCCTCCATCTCCATCTCTATCACTAGCGGAGCACCACACCTGGTGGGTCCGCTACATTCAGCCATTCATTGCTATTCTTAATATTCTTTATTGTTTGAATAAGAGAGGGGGAGATAAGGAGGGGGAGTTGGTTGGCGAGAGAAGGGGGTTTTGTCATTGGTCTTTTGCTGGTGTGCATCTTCTTCTTCGTCTTCCTTTGACTCTCTCTCCTCTCAAGTTCATTCATTTCTTTTTGCAATTGGTCGGCATTGCATTTCATTGTGTGTACTTGCACTTCGGAATTGGCCAGGATCGTAACACCTCCCTTCCTTCTTTCTCTTCTTTCTTTCTTTCTTTCTCTTCCTCCTCCTTTTTTTCAAAAGGGTGATGGCCTTAAGACATCATTATTGAACTGACCGGCCCAGGTACTTCAGAGTGATTTTTTCTGTTCATCTGATAGGATTCGAACTTGAGCCTGTATTTCAATAGTTCATGGGTGTACCAACACCAACTGAGTGGGACCTGGGACAATCTTGCATGGTTTCTATTGAATGTTGTATTGATTCGAAAGTTGCTGTTCAATTTTTAGCTGTTCTGTTAGAATGTTCTCAGTTTTCAATGACAGAGAAGGGGTTGGTAGAGGAGGATTCATGACCTTTGTAGGGAAGGACTGGGTACTTTGGATAGTCTCCCGCTACTCATGATGACTTGGCAGAGGCATAGACATTAAACCACTAGTACCTCCGAGGCACTTTTATCCTGGGCTGGGAATGCGCTGTGCAAACAAAACGAACCGGCGCAGCCCACCTTTGGCTGGCACCGCCTGCCACTTTGCTCCGGAGGCCGAGTCCCAAAAGATGCGGCGCGTTAATGCCCTTGACCAAAAACGAAGAGCGGGGCGGAGTACTGGTGGTTTAACTCTCATATTATTCCATGTTATTTTATATGCTTGCTGGTGATAAGTAACCGGACTGGTGCCCCCCGGACCAGAAGGCGATTGTGCTTTGTTGGAAAAAAAAACTCTCTGGGAAACCCCACACATACTCTTATTGCAGATGAAAGTGCAAGTGCATAAACAGAGCGGTACTCCGGAGGGCATCGTGTTGCCTTGTTCATGGCACAGACTGTCGCTCTGGGACATTGCACCTAGGCATCACTGAGTACCAGTGGATGTGACTTAGAGAGTGGGGTTATAGGTGCCCCCTTTGCAAACTCTCGGAGGTATTTATAAGGAATTCCCCATTTTCTGTACCTGGGCATACTCTGTACGCGGGCATATGGACAAATCCTCAAAGCGATGATGTTGGCAAGGCTTTACTCAGTTTACTGTGATCCAGACTCCACCCAAAGATGGATTGCACTATTATATGCAACACAATTCGTGGCCTTACAGATAATATATGCCATCAGTGAAAATTGACAACCAATGTTTTACGCTTGAAGTTTTTGATTGGTTGCCAGAGTTTGCGTGAGCAGACGATAGGTTGGGTGTTTTCGGATCGCAGTGGCTTGAGCTGGCTTGTGGTGAAAAATGTTAACATGGCTGGCATGTGTGTTTTATATAACACCTTGTCAAACGACGGAACTTACATTTGGTAAGATGGCAGGGCATACACCATGTGTATGTACAGCTTGGCTTACCTTTTACATTCTCTTTCTTCTTTTCTTTGATGGTTCCGTTCACAAGAATCTGGGAATTCCAGTATCCGTGATACGAGTACCTGTCATTGAGAAGGTGCATAACAACCCTGTGTTGCGTTGGCTGATTGGCACACTGACGTGCCATTCGGCTGACTTCTGGTCTCTGCACCTTCCCCCCCCCCCTCCCCCCCCCTCCCCCATCTTTCTCCTGGCAGAACTGAGGGGTTGATTATATCTGTATTCAGGGATCTTAGAAGATAGCTCTACATTTATTTTACAGCAACCCTTCATCCATTTCCCAGAGTGTCCTCTCCAAGTTGACAGATGTGTGACACTATATTAGAACTCAGCATTACGTTCAGGAAAGGTGGTCACATGTTTTCGGGGCATTAGACCAGCGTCACAGGCAGATATAATCATATAACAGATGACGAGTTTTTCTGTTTGCCTGTGTTGGGGACAGAACGGTGCCACATCCTCTGCTCAACACTGGCCATCCATTTGGCCGAGTGCCCACAGTCTTGACAATACCATCTTCCACCGAATAGAATGGAGGATCACTACTTGTGTATTCAGGCCATGTCAGAGCAGTTTTCAGGTCAGGTACGTGTATAATAACCCCACGTTCTATTTTTGAGAACGTTGCAGCTTCTACTTCTGAGCTGTCGTTTGACAGCCTCAAAACTACTGCACCCGCACCTGCGCTGCCAAACCCAAGCATGCTTCTGCATGTCGGCTTATGTTGTTGCCAGGATTTCTGATTCATGTTGCTCCTCTTCGCCACTGTGGCTTTTAAACCAGTCGCGGTTTAAATGTTTTGGAAATATGAAATTTGGAGACAGTAACAAACTGAGAAAGCGATTGGTAAAGAAACAACAAAAAGGAAAAAATTCCCTGTGCTAACATGTGTGGCTTAAATGGGGAGCTTTCAACACAGTGATGTCTTAGGCCACCAGTACACCCTGCCCTCTTTCTGCAGAGGCGGATTTGTGCCGTGCACCACAAGAAATCAACAAGTGCGGCATATATTTTTTTTTGTTTTGGCTTCCAACACCAGTCAATTACAGATCCGGTAGTCTGCGCCCGGACAAGCGCGCCCTGCATACGGCTGCGTCGGAACAAAATAGCTCGGTAGGGTACTGGTGGTCTAAACCACCAGTTCCCCCCGCCACTCTGTAATTGACAAGCCGGGGAGTCTGGCACAATGCCAGGGAGCCCATGGACTGCTAGGCCCACCTTCAGCCGGGGTCGGCAGTGATTCACAAAATCACCAGTACACCAACTT